TTTATTATATGTCAAGAATGTCTCATTTTTTTAAAACCCTATTACACATATACATGATAGGGAAATATATTATTCACTGTAAGTTCCCCACAGACTTCAAAACACAGCGAAAAAAAATAGGCATGTTTACATGTGATTTCTATCCACTAACCACGTCTGGTGAAATTATGCCAGCTCTCTGGGTCTTACACTAATTGAGTTAATTGAGGAAAATTTAATTTCCATCTCAGATTACTGTATGCCCTATAAATGACAAGTCATGTTATACAGCAGGAACATACTAAGCAGTTAATGTACCTTAATCCCTATGTATGTAAACAGCAAAGCAGGTGTCAATAATATAATACATTATTTTTCCATGATTGCAAACTTATCAAGAATAAGAAAAAAACTACAAAAATGAAAAGAACTAGCAAATGAACAGTAGTATTTACACTGAGCAAAGAAGCAATGACACTGTATTAGTCCATTTTCCTACAGCTGGGACACAGTATCTGACACCACCGACCTTAAAGATGAGACAGTAACTGTGGCTAATGGTTTTAGTCCATGCCTGGTCTGCTGGCACCAAGGCCAAAATGGCGTGGCAAAAGGACACGGTAGCTCACTTCATTGCAGTCAGGAAGCAGAGAGAAGGAAGCATGAGCTAGGGCAAGAGCACACCTTCCAAGGTCAGGTGTGGTGTCACACACCTGTAATCCCAGCACTCCTGAGGCTGAGGCAGGAGGACCGCTACAAGTTCACAGCTGGCCTGGGCTGCCAAGTGAGTTCAAGGCCAATCTGAACTGCTTAGGGGAAGTCTGCCTTCAAAAGACAAAAACAAACAAACAAACAATAAAAGGACAAGACAGGGACAGGGGCAAGGAAAAAAAAGAAAAGAAAAGAAAAGAAAAAAAAAGAAAAGAGAAAAGAAAAGAAACACACCTTCCAGGTCATGTGCTTAGTGACCCGCCCCTCCACGTCCCGGCACTGTAGATCTAAACCATAATAGATATACACAAGGATGTGTCTACAAGGGTTTTCACAGCATTATTTTCAACAGTAGAAACCTGGGAAACCAAACATGAACTAGTTAATGTACAACCACGAAAATCAGTTTTATGATAGATAAATAAAAGTACTGTATATATCCTAGACATGAATATAAAAAAAATCCTATCACACAAAAGCATTTGTAAGTTTTATTGATCTATACCTTAGTCAAAATTCAGGACATAGAAAGAAAATCAATACAGTTTGCATATCTGCTCCTTCCTGTATTATGTACACTAAGAAAACAAGCAGCAAGTTTAATCTATGTATGAATTTATATATTCTCATATACTCACAATAGAAAAAATTAAAAGTACAATAATTTAGAACTATAAAGAAGTAGAAAAGAATAGATAAAAAGAATTTTACAGCAAATTAAAATAGAATGGAGTCAGGCAGTGTCAAACATTAAGAACATCAGAGAATTTTTTAAACAATAGCTGCATCCAGGCTTGGTGCTGCATACCTATAGTTCCAGCACCTGGGAGGCCGAGGCAGGAGGATCATCATGAATTCAAGGTCAGTCTGTGCTACATAGTGAGTTCAAGCCCAGCTTGAATTACACAGTGAAACCCTGTCTCAAAAAAGGCCAAAAAGAAAACAGCTGGCAAAATATATAGAGCCTGATGAAATCATTTTTTAAAACCAAGATAAAATTATCCTAGGCAATCAATCGTCTGTGTGCACTTACTAGTTATCAAAAAACATGTTGAAAGTTGGGTGTGGTAGTATACAACTGCAATCCCAGCACTCAGAGGCTGAGGCAGGGGGATTGTTGCAAGTTTGAGACCAGCATGGGTTACAAAGTGAGCTCAAGGCCAGCCTGAACTGCACAGTGAGACCTTGTCTCAAAAAGATTAAGAAAATTTTAAAAAGCATGTTGACAGCATATCCTATGAAGCTGGATATGCCTGAGCCTATCACTAGACAGACTTTCTGTCCATCATAGAATCACAAAACTAACCATTAGAGATTCTGAACACACCTGCCAGACACTAAACAGTGCCATCAGAGTTTCACAACACTTCAAAAGAGAGCTAACGACAGGCTCACACAGGATATCAAGACATGAACAAATTACCTCATTGTGGCTATTCCTACATCAGAGGAAGTCCTTTAGAGGTACTAAATACGACAGTTTGATCTTAGCAAATCAGCTGTAGTTGTTATGCTCTTAGTTCTATTCCCCCATAAATTCAAATGTGAAAATTAAGGGAAATTTAAGTAGAATTCTCCAATACCTTCTCAGCTACTGCAACTGCAAGCAACAGGAATCATGTAGGCTGAATATATTTTATTCTAAATCATCATTTTGAAGGAAGCAATGATTTCTTTGTTTCATTTTGTTTTCTTTTGTATGGAATATATATGTCTTTCAGCAAGATTTGGCATACTTAAACCAACTAAAATCAACATCATATTAGTGACTTTGCAACTGTTTATGATGTAAAAGAAGCACTTTTTCAAAACAACCTTTGACGAGTTATTTTTCCTCATAAAATCATTAGTTCTCTTAAAACAAACAAAGTAGTAGGACAGGAAGAAAGGGCACACAGAGATACGCACCTGCTTATGATAATACAAATCTGTGCTACACAGTTGTGGTGAGAATTAAATGAGTTAATACATGTAAAAGGCTTAGAATAGTGTCTGACACAGCAAACCTTTAGAAAATGTTAGATATTATCACTTTACCATGTCCCACTTTGACTTGTGCTATGTCCCTTGAATGCAGGGAAGAGTAAGTGACAGAGAAAATAGAAGTCCTTTTCTTTGACGCTTACATACTTCAACCCACACAAGTCCATCTGACATATGAAGAGACGGGCTAGACTTAGCCATCTGGGTTCTTTATATAAACCTAACCCTTTTAGCGCCAAACATGAAAGGGTGATCAGGATTTTCTTGGGATCCAAAAAGTCACATTGGTGAACTATTTGTACCTAATCCTTAACAGATATGATAAACAGTATAGGTTAAAGTACAGCTTTACCTGAGATATTCCACTCACATTACAAAGAAAAACAGATGACTTTGGAATTAGAGGCACATGACAGAAGATTAATGGTATCACACTGACCAAGAAAGCCAATTCCAAGACAAAGAGATGACACAGCCAGACAGCCAACACGAATGCCGATCGGACAGGAAAGTAGACTGCCACGGTGGAGAATCTCCCTCTCCAGTCTGATCAGGAACAAGCAGAGCTTAATACTTCCTTCTGATTTGGAGTTAAGCTTATTCAGCTTACTCTAGGGGACTCTACTAAGGCCCCCGCTCACTCTTGACAGTTGGTGATGCCAAAGAATGCTGGAACTGAGAAGTACAGCATGCATTTCATACACATTTTTTTTAAACATGAAAGAAAATAACAGAACAAATTTGAAGCATAAGATGGAGTATATTGTATCCCCTGAGATTTGAGGAACAGCTTTCAAAAGCTTTCCTAGTAAAGACAGATCATCTGACAAATCAAGGATGAAGTACACAAAAAATAAGTGATATCCTCGGTGGTCTGCAACGCATTGAGATCTATTTGGAGCCTCATCAGTGTGCCGTGCCGAGAGAAGAAATGTGAAGGAGACAGAACTGTGTCCGTGGAGAATGTCAGCCATGTGACTAGGGCGAGCGCTCGACTGCTGGGGGGCTGTGCAAGTGGATTTGCTAGAACTCACGTCCTCTTCAGAATGCTAAATTCTGCTGCACCTTCACTCACATTTTAAATGATTTCTACTCTGTAAAATTCAAGTCCATTCTCTAAAATGAATGTATAATAATATGACAGGAAAAAAAAGAGAAGAGGAAGTGAGGAGGAAGTGGGGAAAAAAGAAAAAGAAAAGTAATTGAAGGAGCCAGTGCAGCCTCTCCAGGTAGATGCATGGTTCTACTTGAAGCCACAGACTTCCTGAGGCGGAAGATAACATTACTGTCAATTATACAGCTATGCCTGTAAGGGCACATAGATAAGCCGAAGGCTAGGGCTCTAAGATATGCCCAAATAAACTGTACCTCAGGATAACTGGGGTACAGATGATATGCCATAAGACCAGAGAGGCACTGCACTGTCATGTATTAGACATTGTTCCTAATTTTTCTTAATTCCAAATTCATCATTTTAAATAGCATATATTGATTCTTACAAGTATCAAGACATAAAGTATTTAAATTTCAGTGTTCTAAACTTATACCCTACAAGCTCTTACATATCCTGTGTTTGTATGCTAGCTTCATTCATAATTAAACCTGAAAAGTCTTGCTTATTTAATCCCATTGTATAAAAAACAGTGGCTGGAAAGGACTCACATTTTCTGAAGATTAACTTCATTTCACCAAAAAAAGAGAACTATTAAACATTGCAAAGAAAATATCATCCATCATTTCTACATTGTTATTATTATATGAAAGAGTGAGGTAAATGCTTGCCAAATGAGTGGATAAATGAGTTGAGACTATATTCCAGCTGCAGTGGTACTTCAGTTCATAAACTCAATTCTCTCCATGATTCTAGTTGCAAATTGAACTGGATGAGAACAGAATCAAATTTCCTCATAAACTCAGCATGAACTAATTCTGATTCAGTTCTCATCTAATTTGATTTGCAACCAGAATCGTGGAAAGGATTAAATTGGTGAACCAAGGTTCAACTACACTACAAATCACACAATATAATGATTTACCAAAAGCAATTAATGCAAAGAAAATTCTATTTAGTTTCTGTGACCTGACAGTATCTATGTAAACATGTCAGATTTTCATAATTAAGTCACAGTAATATTCATTTTATAGCTATCCAGACATACAAACAGTAGAGTGCCAGCATAATGCATAACTAAGAATATTTGACTAATAAAATAATTATCTGTATGTTTAACAATGCACATGCAATATTCAAGGAAATAATACATATTTCATGTAGTCAAGGATTAATATAAAATAAAAACTGACATAACAAAATATGAATATCTTACCTGAACATCTTTGTACTTGTCTTTTAAGTCCAAGAGCCGGTGATAAGCTTTAATTGCTTCTGAAAATTCCCCAACATCAGTACTCGTGAGGATGTAGTTTTCCCAGATTTGCCAGTGTTCATAGTTACACTTGAGAGCTTCTTGTAAAGTTCTAAAAGCTTTTACTCTAGAAGACCAAATTTTAAAAAGAGCAATAGTAACTATTTTAACTAGAATACAATATAGCTAAGCATACTGAATGCCAATCAAGCTGTCAGTCTTCACTGAGAACTACTAATGGATCCTCCCTTGCAAAACAAAGGAAATAAAAAAGAATGAAATACTTCTTCAAAATTCAATACAAATCATATAGAAATTTTTAAAAATCCTTACTCTACTCCTTAGTACCATACGTAACAGCAACTGACTTCACTTGTGGTGCATTCAGGTCTCTTATTTATAGAAGGGTAGGAATGAAATTATTCTCTTGAAAAATAACAAGCAGCAATTTGCGTCATGAGGATTATCCTTTTTCTTGTATGTTTTCCCACCTTTTAACACAAGCGCCTAGCTTCAGAGGTTTTGAAATGAATTATTTTTTTGTTTTTGCTGAAGATGTCTTTCATTTGTTTGTTTTTGTTTTTTTGGTACAAGGGATCAGACTCACAACCTTGCACTTGCCAGGCAAGCACTTGTGCCACTGAGCTAAATCCCTGGCCCCAGAATTTCTTATTTTAGGAGCTTCCTGCCAGGATCATTTATCAAACTCAGTAAGGTAGAGAGACTGCATTATGATAGTTACATGGTATCTGAAACGAGCAATTTCCCAGGGGACTGGCAGGGAAGTGATGCCTGGGAAATAAGACGCAGCAATGGAAAGAGCACTTCAGCAAAGAACCCTACGGTAAAAAGCAAAAATGAGATCATGACATAGGTCATTTTAGAGCACAAATATGACTGTTTTGAGAGGAGCAGTAATAGTTTGTCTCTGAAGTAACAATTTCATGAGCCAAAAATTAGTAAGTCTGGAGCAATAGCTAAATAAATGAATGAATGAATGAATGTAAAAAGGCTAGAATAATGTAATGATTTACCTCTGACCTTACACCTTTAATCCTACATATAAACTTGCTCGTGAAGGAGCAGAAATGCAAGGAAGTATGAAAAAAAGAATAATATGCAAGAATTGTCTACATAGAGTTCCAAAGATTAGTGGTTTAGAAGACAAAATAGGGCGTATCAAGAGCCTTACTACATACAAAATTATCTCAGTAACCAGAAAAACTCAATGAAATCACTCTACAACTATGACAGGGATTTCTCCTACCCACTCCTTTAAACCAGAGGCCGCCACTGGGTTTAATATAATCAGTTTCAATCAAAAACATAATATTATTTTCTGAAGAAACTCTACAACAAACAATACTTTATTTATGTAGATTATCATCCAATAACAAAGGAAGCATTTCATGATTTCAATGGTATCTCCAGAAATATCTTGTGATTCCACAAAGAAAAAGTAAATTAAATTTGAAAATAATGCCAAATAAAAATGGAGATATACCCATCTTTTAATTAATGTATTAAAATGGGCAAAAGCAACAGCCTCTTCCCTTTCCCCCGCTTTTTGTAGCCAGTCACTAAGCCCGTCAGTCGTCCCCTTTATAAACTGTGGGATCCACCCTTTCTTTTTCCACTTCAGCTATCTCATGCCTGGACTGTTACAACAGCTGTCTCCTAACTGGTTTCCGAGCCCCAGTTTCCTCTCTAGTTTGTCTAACACACTGCTGCCAGATAAAGCTTCCTAAAAAAAACTTTTCTTCATGAATTAGCCAAAATTTCTAGCTATTACCAATGAGATGTTATCCACTTGTTAGAAAAACCAGAACACACAGCAATTGACCCAAACTTAGCTTTCCACTCTTATCTTTCACCACAGAACTCACATTATATGCTAGCTGGACTATACTACCTCCTATCTTCTAAAATAATTCATTCACTTCTTGTCGCTCCAAATTTGCTCACATTGTTTCCCTGGCTTAAAAGACTCATTTGTCCTCCATTCTCATCCTTCAAATTTAGCTTGGGTCCAACATTAGTATTTCTAAGCCAGGTTGACATATCTCCTCTCCCCCCAGATCCTCACAGGCCTAAATAAATGCCTGACACGTAATAAGTGCTCTACAAATATCATCTATTATTGCTGTAGTCCCCTTTTGTATTCTCATTTGATAGTTACAACATACAGCTTATATTTCTAATCAATTTCTAAAATAATGTGACATACTATTTTATTTTTAACCTATAATTCCTAAAAATACTGATTCATATTTATTTAAAATTATCCATAATGTCTACTATAAAGCAATTAATAAAAAATCTACCATTAGAGATGGCCAACTAAAAGCATGCTTGCTTCCTTTTATCATGTAACGAAATTTAGTATGTAAAACCTAAACACCAAATAAAGATTTCAATGATACTTTTTATTTTACTATATATTAAATGTTTTTAAGACATAAGCTGCACATTTATAATTCAAAGAATATTAGTGAGTTATTCTAACTCCTGTAAAGGTAAAAAGGGGGAAGACAATAAAATATAATGCCTCAATATTCAGTTGGAAAAAATAATTATTCGCTGCTTTTGGAAGCACAGTTCTTCATATTTCTCTGATGTACTTACTTTTGTTTTAATCGGATATACGAAGTTGATAAATTGTTCCAAGCTTCAGCATTCTGAAATGATAGAGAACCCAGTTATAGGCTATTCTCACTTAGGAAGTAATTGTTGAAGCCAAAAATATAACAGTCCAATATATAGTCTTAAAAATCACAATTTTTATTAAGTTATGTTTAGTAAGGTATGTTTAAAAGCAAAACATAAAATTAAACCAAGTTTAATTTTTATAATTTACAAAAATTTCAAATATTAGTCAAGCAATGATAAAACTATTATAGAACTGATCTGGAAATTTCTTAAGATTTTATTTTCACATTTAGATTTGACATTTTACAACATAACTCATAGAGCATACAGATTTATTACAAATCCAAGGAATGTAGAACACTGGTTTCTGCATTTCAAAGGCTTTGCCTTTTACCATCATCTTTTCATCGGACAGGCGAGAAAGACTGAATAGTGTTCTCAAGTGTTACTAGTTTTTCATCAACCAAACACATTTCTCTATTTCTATTATCTAATACAAAAATAAAATTTTTTAGAAAAATGTTGGTGTTAACAAGAATGATGTGGATTACGTTTGTTCATCTTTCTTCTACTTTCAAAATAAAATATTCAATATATAGTTCTCAAATTCTATACCTATGATTCAAAAGATTAAGTAGTACTGAATCTCTCCTTCCTCACAAGACAAAAGACAGTGTCAAAGTAGCCCTCTCATCATAAAGAGTTACAAACTGGACAAAATATAGGAAACAACTATTTTGGAGAAGCTGCACAACAGACAGCACAGAAGCGTGATTCTGGAGAGAAGGGCAAAGCTAAGGTATCTCAACAACCAGCTCAGCCTCTTATTTAGAGGCATTTTCAGGACTGCAGCACGGAGAGGCAGAAACCAAAAAAGCACAGCAAGTATTACTGAGATGAAGAAAAAAGGATCAGAGTTTGGGGTCGAAAGGGAACTGGAATTTGCAGACTAAAATACCATAGGAGAGAGACATATGGCTCAAGAATGAGCTCTAGAAATTTCAATAAACATCCCCCGGAATCTATGGCTAAATACTGTCATCCAGGTGCAAGGCAAAACTTCTTGAAGTCTCCAAAGAACAATCTGCAGAGAGCTGCAGCTGAATGAAAATTTGGAAGTCATATAGGAGTTATTGAAGTTCCAACCCAACAGACTGGAAAGTCTTACGCATGGCATTAAATTTAACCACAGGTTATACCTTGCGAGAAAGATTTTTATTCCAATTTTATGCTTACCTTAAAGTGTAAATCAAGATGATCTACAAGTAAATTAAATAAAATTCAAAATAAAAACCCTTCTTAAGAGAAGAAAAATGGGCTGGGGGTTTAGCTCAGCAGCACAAGTGCCGCCTGGCAGGCATGAATGAGGTTATGAGTTCGATCCTTGGTACCAAATTAAAAAAAAAAAGGCAGAGAAGAAAAATATCCAGAAGCTCACCAACACAGCACCCACAATACACAGGATACAATAAAATTAAGGGTAACTATGCAAAGAAGCAGAATATTTTCATCCTGAATCAAAGGAAAGATCCATTATTGGAAACAGACCTGGAAATTAAAGAGGTGTTGGAATAAGCGTATGAAGGACTTTATCTACTATACAGATTACGTTCAAAGAGTTAAAGGAAACCCAAACACACTGAGAAACTGGCTGGGAAATCTTAGTAGAGACAGGAAAATGTTAAAAAAAAAAAAAAAAGAACTAAATGAAAATTCTTGAACTGAAAATTCTATTATCTGAAATAAGCTTAATGAACAGGTTTAACGGCATAGGAAACAGTGCAGAAAAAAGAACATCTCAGGACTGTGACACTGCAACAGAAAATAAACCACAGAGCAAAACCAAAGCACACACACACAAAATAAGAAGAAATAATACCGCTTTAAGGACCAACTGGGTGAAATAAGAACTACAAAAGCAGAGCACCAAAAAGGAAGGAGAAAGAGAGGGTGGACTGAACCTCAGTGGCACCGTGCTTGCCTAACATGCTTGAAGGCCGGGTTTAATCCTCAGCGGAGAAACCAAAACAAAATCTGAAGAAATAATGTCAAAATTTCCCAATCTGATGAAACTTTAAGCCCATAAATCCAAAACTTTCTCAAAACTTTAAAAGGATATGTAAAAGAAAACTATACCAATTAAATGGTGGGGGGATAAAAGGGACTTAAATGCAACAATTTCACGCTCAGAAGGAAAAGTACAATGAAAGAATACAAAGTTAAAGCACAAAATGAACTTTTTATTACTTTATCATTGTACAACTAGAAAATAATGTTTAAAACAATAACATAATAGCATCAGTAACATGACTGTTATCTCACTTTCAAGTTCTTATTTAAGAAAAATGAAGACCTATGACCACACAAGCATTTGCATTAGAATGACAAGCAGAAATAATCCAACACTCCATCAATGGAATGAGGTATAAACTAATTAGGTATATGCATATAATGCAATACCATGCCTCAACAAAAAGAAATTAACTGCTACTACAACAAATGACACAGATGAAAATGTGAAATATGTATCAAGTAAAAGAAATCAGAAAAAAAGCGCATAGCCTATGAGTCCGTTTACACATAAATACAGAAAAAGCAATGTAATGGAAAGAGAAAAAAGTCCAGAATAATAGTTGTTAAGAAACACAGGGGTAAGGCATTTCTTAGGGATGGCACATAAGTCAGGAGGGTGCCTTCTGGGATGACTGAAGTGGTTCCACGTTTTGAAAGGGATATGAGTTACACAACAGCATGCAATTGTCAAAACCGACCAAACTTTTCATTTAAGATTTGTGAGTAGTCTTTAAAATATATTGCACTTATGCTCAGCATGGTGGTATGTGCCTGTAGTCCCAACACTCAGAAGGCCTGAGACAAGCCTAAGCAACATTGTGATATGGCTGCTCAACTACATATAGATATAGATATAGATATAGATATAGATATAGATATAGATATAGATATAGATATATCAAAATATAGTTTCACCTGCACTTAAAGGATGGGAAAGGGAAAAAATTAGGTAGCACTGGGATTCCACTGCCTTTGAGATGAAAGCTAGATTCCAAAAATTGAAGCATTCATTAAGTCAATGCCTGTTAAGTGTTCATTAACCTTTTCTAGCCCCAAAGAATCTATTTTAGTAATTCAGTCATTTATGAACACTAATTAATTGAAGTAGTGTACATGTATATAAAAAATGTGATTGAGAAGTTGGAAAGCATAAAGTGGAGCAAAATTGGTATCTATCCTTAAAGTTCTATATCATAATCATTACTTTTTGTTCATATCTTGCATGAAAAGTAATTTTGGTGGACTTCTAATATAAATACTCTAAACAAGAAATGAAATAATAAATATTAGGGCCGGGGATAAAGTTCAGAGAGGGCTTGTATATCATGTGTGAGACCCTAAATTCAATCTATACACTGAGAGGGAAAAAAGTAAAAGAAAAGGAAAGAAAGAGAGAAATAAAAAAGATTAGAGCAGTCATTGAAGAAATAGACTATTAAAATATAGAAACTTAATGAAACCAGAAGTTAGCTGACAAATCTTTATACTACTCAAGACGAAAAGCGAAAAAAAATCTAAGTTACTAAAATTAAGAATGAAAAGGGGTCACTGTTACCAAGTTAACAAAAACAAATGGATTATAATACAAGTAACTACACCAACAAATTATATAGCCTAGATAAAATGGACCATCTCCTAGAAAGACGCAAAGTATCATGCTGATCCTTTAAGAAAGAGAAAATCTGAATATACCTGCAATAATTAATTGATTTAATAATCACTACAGAAAACCCCAGGGGCAGATGGGTTCACTGGTGAATTTTACAAAATATTCAAAGATGAATTAGCACCAAGACTCACAATCTCTTCCAAGCAATAGAAGATGGAACTTGTAGCTGACTCTATAAAGCCAGTATTTTTCTGTTATGGTATACATTATGTCCCTCCAAAAGCCTCATGTGCATAACAGGTGGAGCTTTCAGAAGGTGACTGGATTATGCAGGCCTATGGTTGACTTGCTATTAGGAAGTATGGTACAGTTGAAAGAATGAGTCACTAGGGGGTGGCCTGGAAAAGTTAATTGCCTCCCCCCAGTGTGACTCCTCCTTTGGTCACTCAGCTTCCAGGACAAGTGCCCATATGGGGAGCAGCTCTCCACCCCAGGCCCTTCCATTATGACAGTTCTCCATTAGAGTCAGTCAACTATGGACTGAAACCTCCACAAACTGTGAACCAAAGTAAACGTCTCCTTTAAGGTGCAAGTGTCAGCAATCTGTCCCAGCAACAAAGAAAGTGACTAAGACATACTGTGATACCAAAACCAATCAAAAACATCACAAACAAGAAAGCTACTGATCAATATTCCTTGTAAAATATAGACACAAAAATCCTCAATGAAATACTAGCAAAGCAAATCCAGCAAGCTATTAGAAGTATTACATACAATGACAAAATGGAATTTATCTCAGGAATGAAAGATTGGTTCAATATCCAGAATCAACCAATGTAAGATACTGTATTGCTAGACTAAGAAAAGGAAGCCACATAATCATCTCAATAGACACAGCAAAAACATCTGACAGAATTTAACATGATAAAAATATTCAACAAGCTAAAAATAGAAAATTTCTTCCTAGGAATATTTAGGGTGTATACAAAAAAATCCATAGCTAATACTATACATACTCAATGGTGAAAAACTGAAAGCTGTGCTGCAAAGATAAGAAAAAGATGATGGCTTTCATCAATTATCTGTACTCTTCTAGGAGAAGCGCTAGACAGATCACTGGGCAAAAAAACAAAAGACTCTTGGATTGGAAGGAACAAGTAAACCCATTTCTATTGCTAGATAACATGACCTTTTATATGGAAAATCTAAAAGAATTCATTAAAAAATAGAACTACTAAATGAGTTAAACAAGGTTGTGGGATACAAGACTAACATAAAATCCAAATGTGTTTCTATAGTAATAACCAGTCCAAAAAATTACAAAACCATTTCATTTATAACAGCATCAAAAAGAAGAAGAAGTATAACACATTCTCAAACATAAATGGAAAGATATTCACATTCATGGATTAGAAGACAATATTAAGACAGTATACAGATTGAATGTACATTCTCTTTGTATTTTTTGCAGAAATTGACAAAGTTAAACTTCTATATGAAAAGGAACCCTGAATATTCATAAACAATTTTGAAAAAAGAAAAAAAAGTATTCACACTTGGCATTTTCAAAAGTTTACTACAAAGCTTCAAAAAACAAGAACGTGGTCCAGGCAGATGGATAGCCACATATGTGGTTAAAAACAACAACCATAACAACAACTGAGAATCCATAATTAAACTCTTATACTTACAATCAATTGGTTTTTTTAAAGAAATGATTCTGGGAAAATTGTATATGCACACATAAAAAAATGAAACTCATCTTACACCATACACAAAAATTAAATGTGTACACCATACACTTAAAATGATCTCTAGACCTACATGCAATAGCTAAAACTATAAAACTCTTAACAGAAAAGGGTAAATCTTCATGATGGATTCCGCAATATTACAATAAAAGTATGAGACAAGAAAAAAGCAGATGAGGTAGAGAGCATCAAAATACACACAACTACACACACACACTTTTGTGTTTCAAAGGATACTATTGAGAAGAAAAAAAAACAATACCCAAAGGATGGAAGAAAATATTTCCAAATTACAAGAGACTTGAACTCTTATACCTTAATAAAAAGACCTAGCCACTTTACCATTAGGTATATACTCGCAAGAAATGAAAACATATGTCTACCAAAGACTTGTAACTGAATGTTAACAGGAATAATGTTCATAATAGTCAAAAAGTAGAAATAGTTAAATGTTCATTAACTGATAAGTGGATAAATGTGATCGGTTATACAATGAAATATTATTTGTCAGTAAAAAGTAATGAGGTACCTGCTATAGCACAGATGAACCTTAAAAACATAAAGGCATAAAGTTTCAACTGAAACACAAGTCTTTTTATATGAAATGAGACAAAATGTGCATTAATGTTTGCCTAGGGCTGGAGAGGAACAGAGGTGTGTAAAGAGAAATGGAAAATGACTTCTGGTAGGTACTAGGATTTCTTCACTGGGCAACGAAAATTTCTCAACTTCAAAATTCTGATTATACTAAAAAATCACTCCGTTTTAAACATTTTAAATGGATAAACAGGACATAAATTACCATCTCAATAAAGCTGTTAAATAAAAAAGATGCCACACTAAAAGAACTTTTATAACACAATAACACAATTAACATAGGAAGCATATGTTAGCAAGTGGCGAAGCATACGTAACACTGCTGTATCATTCAATACAAATTTTTAACTGAAAAATTATTTCATCAAAATTATTTTCTAAATGTAATCATAACCATTATAAGGAAAACTTATTTTCAGACTTATAAATCCTATGCCTGGGAAGTATAACCTTGCATCAAATGTATACATTCTTCCGCCACAAAAAGAATTGCTGCTCTGACCTACACAGTACAATGCAGATAACTTAAGAGAAGGGAGCTGAAACAAGGAAGGATGGCCAAGTACACTTACATCAGGCTCCAGAGTCACACAACGCTGAAATGCCTTTGCTGAGCCTCCGTAATCTTCCAAGGCCAAATAGGCACAGCCTAGAGAAAACCACACCCCGAGCTGCAAAAGCAGAAGTCAAAGTCATTCAAACACACAGACACAAGTTTACAGAATACGATCTAAGATTATTTAAGATACTATCAACAAACACACCTCCATAAAGGATTCAGAGCTATACAAAGTAGGATCGAAAGCTATATTCAATACTTAAGCTTTAAAAATATTTAAAATCGTAGAAGACACATTGTCATTAATCCTCCTCAAAATACTATCCCTCATGTTAAACACAATTATCCCACTGTTCTTACCACTTTCGGAAACAGTTCTGGAAGCTCTCTTTCATGAATGTCTTTACGAGACATGATCAAAACACGGTGAATGCTGCCACTGAATATCATCCAATGGAAAAGAAGGATTGCACATTACAGTGTGTGCTCACTTACCTTATAAGATCTAGAACCCTGCGACTTCTAGATTTTCTCTAAAGTCAAAATGGTCATGGAATGTTTTGAACGTTTTGAATCCATCAAGGCAGGCAGGACAGTGTAACTAACACTCTTGAAAAAGGACTTCTAGGGGCTGGGGATTTAGTTCAGTGGCATAAACGCCTGCCTTGCAAGCAGGCAGTCGTGAGTTCAATACCTGGTACCAATAAAAAAGGGAAAAGACAAAAAAAAAAAAAAGAAAGAAAGAAAGAAAGAAAAAGGACTTCTAGAACTTCTTCACCAAGTGGAAAGAACAATAGGTTAAATGTGCACCAAAAACTAGGGGTAGTTCTTGTTTTGTTTTGTTTGGTTTGGTTTGGTTTGGTACTGGAGATCAAACTCACGACCTTGCACTTGTGAAGCAGGCACTCGTGCTCCTGAGCTATACCCTTGGCCCTGAGGGGTAGTATTTTCAGTCTTTTACTACAATAAGTTTTTAAAATGTAAACATCATGTTCTTCATTGACACCTCACATAGTAAATAGTTGCCTTACATTTAGTTAAATGTAGGAAAATTAGCAATGGAGAGCAATTTCCCACCTAATTTCCAAAGTAGTACACTGAAAGCATGTACAATCATCACTCATCTTTCATTGAGAAACATCGCACTCTTTGTTTACAAATTCCTTAAATGCAAAGGAAAGTTTTGTTTTATAAGCCTTTATATTTGAATCTGATATTTTAAGTCTGAGATTAAGCAAACTTTTTTTTACTGATCATCTATTACATAAAAACAGTACACAAAGTATCAGCAGATTCAAAACTGATGAATGTATCACCAACTTAAAAGGACAAATTTCTGCTTTTATGTTCAATTAGGCCACAAATAACTTCTACAGTTTAACCATAAATCTACCCTAGTACATATCTGCATTGGCATGCCTGAAAACAACTTGGAAAACACAGGCTCAGAATCTGAGTTACCAAATTGTCATACAAAATGCAAAGCCTGGCTTAAATCAATCAAATTCAGAAACACTAACATTCAGAAAACAGGTAATATAGAAAAATATTCAAATTACAAAGAATTTTTTATGACAGTTTCCTTAAAATTCAATAGACCCTATCAAAAGAGAGAGAAAACTAGAAAAAATTCAATTAAACCTGCCAGAAACTCAAATATTATGAGTCATTTATTTCAGACATAGACAACACAGACAGCAATAGATACAGCGGTACACAGAAGTCTACTTTTGTTTTTTAAAGACAGGATTTGACTATGCGGTTTGTAGTTCAGGTTGCCCTCAACTCATATGTAGCCCAGACTGACCTCGAACTCCAGGCGATTCTTCTGCCTTGGACTCTCCAGTACTGGATTACAAGTACTGCCAAATACTGGGATTACAGGCGTGCCAGCACAACTGTTAAGTCTACCTTCTTAGTGACTTATTTACTGCCCAAACAAGGACAGGAAAACTTTGGAGGGAAAAAACATGAAGTGGTATTATCTGTCTGCCAGCCTTCCTCAGAGGCAGAGAAGGAGCCTGCTTCTACAGCCCTCCTCCTTCAACATTTCCAATATGGCATGTTGAGGCCTGAACATTCCTTGAGCAGATAAAGATTTTCAGAATAATTAGAGATAAGACTTAGCAAACACCCTTGGGCAATTTAACACTGTGCAGTGAATTCACAAGCAGCCATAAATAACCACTTATCAAGAGTCTTTAAGGAGAACATTTGGTTTGAGAGATAGGTAATGCCTGAAAAGAGGGTGGTGTGCCTCTAGTTTGGGGGTTGCAGGAGGAAGCAGAGGACTAGGTTGGGACTAAAAGTTCACTTGTCTGAATTATGGCACTTTAACTTAAAACCAAGCTCACTGCTCTGCTTTCATCTGGTTATTTATAGAATGAAATGAAAAGGCTTCAAAGCACCAAACTGCACTCACTGAACTTGATGCAGGCTGAGAAGACCAGAGGCTGATACTAACTTACAAAATACATAAAACACACCCTCTAACTTCCAACCAAGTTGAAAGCTTCAAATCCTGTGTTATATTTCATCAGCCCTACGGTACTTTTTCATCATGTAACATCTCTGAAATAGACACATCTTGTCAAGGGTTTCAAGAGCAACCGTTTTGTTACCCAGACAGTGGATTTAAAATAAAAGCACCCCTTACAGTTGATAGCATCTTAGATATGATGAATCATGGTAGTAATGTTAGTAGGAACCAGGAACATCCCATTCAGGAACTGAATTAGGAACAGTGAAAAGTGCTCTCGAGGTTCTGAAAATGCATGACCCTTGCTTGCTTTCTAAAACCAGCAAAGAATACTCTTCCCTATGTGTTATAAAATCCAAGATAAAAATCAAAATCTAAATGAAGAAATTTGTTTTTAAGTCTACATAAAAAGATTTATAAAAATTGCAAAGATTTTAAATTAACAATTATCATAAAGCTCTAAAAGACTGGAAACAAAATTCATTTACTTTTAAATATTAAAAGCCAGTTAATATTTTGTAATTGTACCTTAAAACCAAAATAAATTTAATGAAAATTATTCTGATGTCTTATCTAATATAAAGTATTATTATGGTTCTCCTTTTCTTTTCACTACAGGTTATTTTTGCAGTTGTATTAATAATTTGTACTGCAAGAAAAGCCCATGACCAATTAACTACTATATTTAATCTATTGATAATATATACTTATGACAGAAGACAACCCCTCCACACATTTTGTTCTTGGAAACCATGCAAGGCTCTTTTTCTAATTGTTTATAGTTGATCTTTTATTTGTTTGCTTATTTATTTTTGGAGCCAGGAATTGAACTGAGCACCTTACACTTGCCAGGCAGGTACCATGCCACTGAGCTATACATCCTAGTTCTTGTCCTTTAAATTATTCATTTCTGGCAAGAGAAACAATTTGCTCTTCTCATGAACCAATAGCAGCCATATGGGGCTAGGAAGAGAAACAAGAAGCCAATTCACACTTGCCATGAGCCAGCCTGTGCAAGGGCTCAGAGACAAGAAGAGTGCCTCCCTCCACCAAGCAACTGGCTGATTCGGAGGCTGAGCTGATAGCAACTAAAGCACAAAGACAACTTAATTCTTGTATTGTTTGATTGATTTTGCAGGCCTAAAGCCCGAGTATCTATTTAGAGTAGTCGAGCATCTATTTAGAGGATAATGATATGCAATACAGCAACTATGTGGGATTTCTTTCTGTGTTGTTTTTGAAACTCAATACTACTCTCACTGTTTTGTTTTGCTCCATTTGATTGTTTTGTTTTCTTCAATGTTTGGTTTTGATTGGTTTTAGTCTGCTCTCTTTTGTATGGGCAGCAGTTCTGAAGATAGAAAGAGGCATTATGGTAACCATTGCTGATTTTCTATTATTCTGTTTTGAAATCCTGTATCACTTTTACTGTTTTGTCTTGATTAGCTTTATTCTGTGTTATTTTGTTTGGTTTTAGTCTCTTTAAAATAAAATTGTAAAATAAAATTTAAAATAGAAATCAACGATTCAGCCTTCCCGGTAAGCAGTGCAAGCTATATGCATGCCAGGAAGAGAAAAGCCAGCATCCCCTGAGAATCTGCCGTGCCCAGCCTTCCTGGTAAGCAGCCAGTGCATGGGCTGAAAATCATCCCCGCCTCCTGTTAGCAACCAGATGGTTCCAAGGACAGACAGAGTGGATAGCTAAAGTATATAAAGCATGTAAATGCTGTATTGTTTGGTTGATTATGCAGGCCTGGGGCCAGTGGTCTGAGCATCTCTCTGGAGGATGACAGTATGCAATATAGCAAATACAGAGATTTCATTCTATCTTGTATTTGAGGTCCAATACTGTTTTCACTGTTTTGCTTTGTTCTAATTGTTTTTGCTTTATTCAATATTCTATTTTGATTGGTTTCACTGTGTTTTGTTTTTGTTTGATTTTGCTATACCTGATTGAATGGACAACTGTTGTGAAAAAACAAGATATGTATGGTATCTTACTCTGAAATTCTGCACCAATTTTGCTTCATTGTCTCGATTTGGCTTTGTTCTGTTTTGAGTGTTGCATTTTACTAGCTTTAAAATAAAAAAATTAAAAAATAAATTATTCATTCCTCTTTCTCAATGGAAGCTCTCAGAATCTGAGAGACTATGGAGAATATCTGGTGCCTCTTTTACTTTTTTTTAAATTTAAAACTATTAAACTGTAATTACCAATAATGACTCACCTCTTGGTTCAAAAGGTCATACTTTTAAGAATAGGGCTTAATTTTAAAAAGAAATTCAAAAGAAGCCCCCAAAAACCCTCACACAGTCTTCAAAATAAAGCTGAACTAGTTGAGTACCAAGATCTTTAGCACCTAGCAGAGCAAACAGAAACAGAATGCCATCCTTATTAAATGTTCTGGTGGCTATGTTTTTTAAAAAGTAAAAGGAAATGGGTAAAATTTACTTTAATAATATTTAATTTTGCATACTCAAAATGAGACTTTCAACATGTTATTAAAATACAGAATTACTGAGGTATTTTATTTGTCTTTTTCATACAAAGTCCTTGAACTCTGATGTATATCCAATACTTACCATACTCCCATTGGCTTGAACTGCCAGTGGTACATGCTTGACTGTCCATC